TGCCATACTAACAGGAATTCAATTCTTTCACACTTGGTTAACAACGCAGTAGATAACAAAAATCCAAATTGAAATTTGGTTTGGTTTTTTTTTATTTCTGAATTTTTCTGATTTTTTTCCTTTTGTTTTTGTGATGTGTTCGACTGATCGAACGGAAGCGTGCAACTGCTGCTTCCAATACTCCCACATATTCAAGTAGGATAGGTCGTTAAAGTTTGAGTTCTCATTCTTGGCCTTCACATCGGCATCGAGCTCGTCCACGTCGACGCCCGCTGCCGGCCCTGGCTTCGCATCAGCTTCCTCGATTGAAGCTTCAGAAACTAACTGAACGATTAATAAAGAAAATACACCCACTACGCGTGTTATAAAATAAACATCGTTCTCATCAAAATCTGTGATATGGGATGCATACCTAATCAGATTTGCCACATTTCTTGTAATGCTTAGCCACTTTGTTTCTAGGTGATTTGAATATATTTTGGTGCCCAACGGTGGGAGCTGCTCGTCTTCTTCCAGATGGAAGTAAATGGAGCTTTGGACATCGGTTTCAACTTTGTCCATATCCTTCTCCATTAGGAGCTGATCCACTAACTTCCTTCTTTTATGAATGGGCGCCTTTTTGACTGTGTCCAGTTGCTGTTTGTGCTCGCTCTGCAGGGAGCTGAGCCCCGCCATATGCTGGGGATGCTGTTGTTGCTGTGGTGGCATCCTGGGACCCACTCCGACACTGGACGGCACCACCTTGGAACTGGAATGCTTGGAATGCACCTCGAATTCCATGTCTGATGACGACATGGACACGATGTGGGTCACGGTGCCAGATAGTGCCTGAAATATGTTCGGCAAACTCTGGACGGGCGTCGTCAGCAGTTTACGCAGGATTGGCCAAGGTTGGCTGACGCTCACTCCCACGCTTGGGGGATCTCCAAAGCCGACGCCCTGCTGATCGGCTATATCGGATATATCCAAGAATATCCATGTTGGCCCGGAGGACCACAATTTAAATTAATATGAAACGACATTTTCACACATTCACAAACAACAACACAACGCGACGGTTCGAAGAGATGAGAATGGGATGTCTGCGAAAACTTTTGGCGGACAAAGTACTGGGTCCCGTCTATAACTTACTTACAGCGGAAAAATTGGCGGGACCGCCGGTTGCCAACCCACGCGATAGCGGTGGGAGTCTGATTTTCATCGACGTTCAAGGGATATTCAAATATTAAAACTTTTCAACAAATCTGTTTCATTTATGAAGCAAGATCTACTGGATTTATGGTTTAATAGGACTTATCTACAAAATGATTCTATATATATCTGTATTCCAATTATGCAAATAGGCGAACCCCGGCGTGGCGAGCATATCCCGGCTATACTAAGCGGATGTTGACATTAAGCTTCCGGGGACATTTTTGCACTTTTGACAGCTTATTTTGAATCGACTTATCAAAATGTATAGCTCAAATTCCTTCCTTCAGACAATCATATCTAATCGAGAACGTTTTTAAAATTTACAATGATCTCTTGAATGAATGAATGAATTTCCAAATTAATCTTTGACTAGTGTGTAGACAGAAACTGATTATCATTTACACAATGTTTAGATTATTCATTTAAGTACATTCTACTTAATATGATGAATTTGCAACTAGTGCATGCTTGTCCCCATTGATCTTGATATAAAGTGCCTCAATTTGTATAAGTGAATGTGATACCTATGATAAGATAATCAGAAATTCAGGATTGAAAGGATTTCGAAACTACAATGGTAGTTTTAAACGATTCTGTATAGAGCATTAACGATTGTTTTCGTCCTTATATCTTAATGAAATCATTAGTATTAGAATTAAAGTGCTCAAAGTATAGAAATGCTTTCAATGTTCGATTTATTTAGAATTAGTAGGAAATGCCAGTGTGATCACGGATCCAGTCCAAGTGGTAGGTGACACGCTGGAAGCCAGCGGGAGCTCCTGACTGGCAGCCGTTGCTGGAGACGAAGTTGCTGACACCGACCAGTTTGTTGCCGTCGTGTGTGACCAATGGGCCACCAGAGTCACCGCCGCAGATCGATTTGCCATCGACGGTCCGGGTGCAGATGATGTTATCTCCGACGGAGCCATAGGTCCAGCCGCACTCCTCGTTGTGAACGATCTGCAGATCGGCGCACTGGAGCCAGTCGGGCAGGGGACTGCCATCGTAGGTGCCGCCCCAGCCGCAGGCGACGGCCCACCATTCGTTGTAGTTGTTGTAGCGATCGTTGTAGCTGGGCAGCTCCACCTTATTGACCATGTGCCAGAAGTCCACGTGGGGAATGCGGATCAGAGCGATGTCGGCGTTGTTGTGCTTGATGAAGTTGCTGTTGCCAACAGTGTGGGTGAACTGAGCGTTGGTACGCCACGTGGCACCGAAGTAGACGGTCACGGAAGCAGCATCTCCGATGCAGTGCTCGGCAGTCAGGACCCAGTCGTGGGCGATGATGGAGCCACCGCACCACCAGCCGCCGCTGAAACCAAGTCCAACGGTGTACGGAGCCTTGCCCTCAGGAGCGGCATAACCGTTGGTAACGCGTCCCTCGATCTTGCTGGACTTGGGCAAGTCCTTGATGAATACCTTCTCATCGAAGGCCGAGGCAGAGGCCACAGCCAAAGCCAGAATAGTAATGAACACCTTCATGTTGATGTCAGCACTTGCTTCTGCCATTTCGGCAGCGGTTTTTATATACGCCGTCTCGGTGCCCAGGTTGTACCTTTCCCTATCTTTGATTGGTTCGTAAATATTCAAGCCTCAAGCCTCCCATAACGATGTCAGTGATAAGAGTTCAGAAGAAGCCACTTACCGTTACTTTCTCTGCATCGTTCAGCTGCGATTTTAGTACACTTGAAGGGCTTCCATAAAACTAGATGTGCATCCTTTTATTTTTTCCTATCCTAAAAAGTACTACCCTATAAAGTATATGCAGCATACGAGTATACTAGGAAATCTATGCATAATTGAAACGAGGGGGAACGTTGTGAGTTGCTGCGGACACCGCAACTCTACATTTATACCCGATACTTAGACAGACGCCTCCGGCAGACGCCGCTAATATTAACCGACACGACAAAGAGTGCGTGCGAGAGAGACAGAAAATCAATCTGAGCGTGACGTCGGGCGCCAATCTGATCCAGATTCCGCAACCGGATAGATATGGTCATTTTCTATGATTGTGCGTCTTTAGTTTTCTCGAATCTGCAATATTGTGGATGCCACAGATTTTCGCCCTTTGTGGGGGCGGAAGTGGGCGGGGCAAAGTTTTGAAATATACTTGTAGCAGTGACATATCACAGAAGTCCGGATATAAAACGTCGTTGCTCTAGCTCTCATATTCTTTGAGCACTAGGCGCTGATAGGGACGGACAGACAGACAGGGCTCAATCGACTCGGCTATTGATGCTGATCAAGAATATATATACCTTATGGGGTCGAAAACGTTTCCTTCTGGACGTTACACAAATCTATTTTCACCACAAATCTAATATGCCCCTATATTCATTTTGAGTATCGGGTATAAAAAGAACAAAAAGACAATACTCAGTCCAAGCTGGCCTGCCTGCCAGGGTACTCAACGTTTCGATGATAGAAGCTAGAGATAGCCTTTCAGAGTTCTTTTTAATAGATTTATCAAAATTGGTAACTCATATTCGAGTTCTGACCATCCTATCTAATCACCTACTTACGTTTTTTAAATTTACAATGTTCTCTCAATTTAAATGAGTTTTAGATTTGGTCTTAAATTAATTTACAGGAAATAATAAATATGGTGATTAATTTTCTATGTGTGTGTGTTTCCCTTCATATTGATAAGCAGACAGAAATAAACAAACAAACAGTAAAAAGGTAGGAATATAGTGATACCAGCTAATGACCAGATGGGCTCCAACAACAATTCAATAGAATGGAATATAAAAGGGAGCCAGGAACCAGGGACATGGTAAACAATAATTGGTAGATAGAGGGCTAGTAATACTAACTACTTTGCTTAGAACACGCGTTATTTAGCCCACACATTCTTCTATTTGAAGTTGAGTAAATATTCATTTTAGAACACCACCAAATAAATAGTCGTAGTCGTATGAGCATTATTGCTCCATTCACTCACATGTCCTCATATCCAACTGTTAATTGTGCTCTCGTATAGTTATGTACATATATATCTTCAACTGTGAGCCAGAATCCTCCTTAACCCGTAAAATAAAAAGAAGAAGAAAGATTCTCAACAGAAGGAACCAAATTGCTGTCTTATCTATTTGAACTTTATATACTAAATATACAGAGTATATATGTACATATATATATTTGTATGCAAAAATTTCCCAAGAAATCTATATCTAGATTGGATCTAGATTTATATACAGAAAAGAAATCAAATGCATGAATAGGTACGAAGTCATTATTAATATTTCAAAGCAGCTTGAAAACAGAGCATTAATTTAAGGAAATAGGGGGAATACAAGGGTCCAAACAATCTTTTGACAAGCAACAATATGGTTTCCGATCATATACAGTGAATAGCGTTTCGGCGCAGTTGAGGAAAAAGATATCGTGGTCTTTTTTGGGTAATTCTGGCGGGTGATTCCGCTGTAGCAATATTGGTCTCTTCGTCCTCTCGGGAGGGATGTCCAAGGATCAAAGATACTTCTCAAGTCATATATATCATGTTTTCTCCGTTATTTGTGGTCTGATCTGACCGTTCTATGGCTGGAACGTAATTGGAACATTGTCGGTAATTCATATAATGCTAACAAATACATAATTGTAATTGGAACATTGTCGGTAATGCATATAATGCAAGCGATGCACATCTATATTCTGTATGATTATTGACTGAACTCAAGCTGTTTACCAGTTTAAATAGAGGGGCGTTTAATAGGTTAAGAACGTTTTTCATCGAAATATATCGCCGGGGGCTGGTGCGCAATTCATTAACAAACAATTGCACTATTAATAACATTGAAACAAATACGAAGGCACAGCATTTATAAACACACAAGGCTACAACTACATGGATTGAGCCAAATTGCGTGTAATTGCTGAGAAATCTAACAACGATGGCGACTGATAATTGCCTTTTTTGCAACATTGCCAGTGGCCAAGATGCCGCTACGAAACTAGAGATTGAAACGGACGAATTTGTTATTTTTCGAGACATTAAACCGGCTTCAACACACCATTACTTGGCAGTGACAAAACAACATTATTCCAGCCTCAAGTCTTTGAACAAATCCCACGACGGTTTGGGTAAGAATTGTTTTGCACATAAATAGTTATGTAATGGCATTAACAGCATTATCTCCTTTTCCTTTCAGTCACACGCATGGAAGAGGGCTTGAAAAGATTTTTGGAAGATAAAGGAATAAGTGAAACAGATGCATTGTTCGGCTTCCATTTGCCACCATTTATTACAGTCGGCCACCTACACATGCACGCAATTGCGCCTCGTTCGGAAATGGGCTTTTTCGCCAGAATGATGTTCAGGCCGTCAGCATGGTTCAAAACAGTACGTACATCCATATAATATACACTTGCAGTTTCTAATATGTACCTATATTACTATACAACAGACCAATGATGCGCACCTTTATCTTAGAAGCAAAGAAGAGTAACAACTGCTTTCCATACAAGTATTTGTATTATAATGCTCATTCCCCCTTGTTCATCCTAAACAGTGATTATTTTAATGGTACAAAATATAAAAGAAGCAAAGTTCCACAAAAGCAAAGCCAAAAATATACTTATATGTGAGCTCCTTTACTGAATTAGAGAAATAGAGTTCATAATTTAAGCAGAAGAGAAAATTAAAGAGCAGCAAAAAAATAGAGTTTTTTCGTCGAGCCAGGAGCTGGAGAGGGTGGCATTGGACCGCTGAACGATCAGAAACTACAATTTAGGCTGCATATACTATACCTTAAAAATGCAATAAATAAACTACTTTGATTTGTTTGTTGTTTATTTTGGTTTGAAAGAGAGCAACAATGAAATAATTGAGAGAGGAATAATCATTGTGAAAGCCAAAAAGAGAGAGCGGAAGAGAGCCCTCAGCATATTTGTGTGTTTTTGCGGTCTTCATATGTTGCCATCATTTTATTTCATTTTCCATTTCGTTTTGTTTTAGTTCTTCTGAACGTCGCGTGCTGCAGCTCTTGTTTGTGTTTTCAATCTATATTATTATTAATATTTATTGTTTGTTAAATTGGTATGGATCGACATCACAGGCGCTCGTTAAGGAGTTCTGCAGGTATTTTTCTAATCAAAATATAGTCGGTATACAGTTATACAGAAGTACAGTTAATGGCAAGCAGAAGCAAAGGTCAAGGTAATGCGGAAAATTCTGGTTTAGCTTGGCAACTCATAAACAATTTCATATGTTTCCATTTTCCCCCTTCGCGCCACGAACCCCACAGCCATTCGTACAGACCTCTCCGGTCGAGAGAAAGAGTATTTTCTGCCAATATATATCGGAAAGAAAAATATCAGACACATATCGAAAGCATAAATTCGAATTCAAAAGTTTATCCGAAAGCGTTGGTCTCGCAGTTTACGCAGTTTGGGTGCAATATACCGGGTCTTTTTTATGCACAGATAAAAAATATGATGATCCTACAAAAGTAATAAGTTAAGTCAAGTTGTTATCCTGTTTAAATAAAGGGGGTTTAAGGAGGCTAAGTTGGTGTTTTCATCGGTATATTTACGGTATATTTCGGTATATTTGCTCGATAAGTCCGGTCAACAAGTGCTGCGGGTTTGTTTTCTATTTAAATCACTTAAAACGAAAGGAAACGAACTAAAAACGTGTATTAACTTGGCATTGTTTTCGACCAGACCAGCTGCTGCAGTGCGTGGGGAAATATTTATTGCGACATAAATGCAGACACATACACGCACAAACATATGACAGATGTGCGACGTGCTTGAATAAAATACATATAGACGACTCGCACACACACGCAGGCACACATACACGTAGTGCGGATGTTCTGATTTTATGCAAGAAATCGAGCTATAATAAGAATCTGAAAATATATTAAAAATATAATGCCAAAGAAAGCAGGCGAGCAACGAGCACGACAAATAATGACAGAGGGAAAAAACGAAAAGCGTCTGTAAGCAACAGCAAAAAGGGACAGGAACGATACGTAAAACAAAACGGGAACAGACACAGGCAGCGCAGTGAAAAATAAGAAAAATTCATAAGAAAAAGTGATATAGCAGATCCGATTCAATTCCAATTGATTCGACCCGGCTGACGTGCAGCGCCAAGTGTTTCTTTCGAGTACGTTTTCGCAATGGGGTTGGAATTGGGTTGAAAACAATTCCAACCCTAAGCTAAATGGTTTCTTTATTAATCTGTGGTGTTCCTCTTCATTTCATCCCTCCTCCTTCTTCCAATGCATCCTCATAGCTGATTCAATCGCTTGCACGGGCCCAAATCATCTGCGACCTACATCTGAGAGACAGCAGCAGAAGAAGCAGCAGCCCTTCCCATGGACGACGAACTGGAAGATAAGGTGTTCTATCAGACGTACGTTTCCCACATGAAAATCCTTTCGAAATTTGCGGTGGGCTTCTCTTCCATCAATTCCCCTCTGGCCTACATATGGAAGCTGTGCCGCCTTTATGTCCTCCGGCCGGAGGTGATGTTCTGCGGCCTCATTCTGTTTATCTTGTTGGTCTATTTGCAAGCGGTAGATGTGTGGAGTCGCAGCATTCTGGGACGTATCCAGGCCTCGTTTGGCCGCCAGAAGGCCGCGAAAATGATGGAGATGTCGGCCATGGCCGGCGACCATCAGAGCTGGGAGGAAGTTAAGCAGCAAAGCTCAGCCTTTGCTGTGCTCGGACGCAGACCACGCATGGAGGATAGGTAAGCACATGCGGCACATCAGTCCTTCAAGCTAATCCCTCTTTTTGTTTCCCAGATTTATTCTTGAGGAGAACATCAACAACAACACTGGCGTCTCCTTCTTTGCGGTCTTTGATGGCCATGGCGGAGAGTTTGCCGCTGATTTTGCCAGGGATGTGCTGGTGAAGAATATCTACAACAAAGTGATTGAGATGTCCAAGCTGTTGAAGACCGAATCTGGTCCGGGAAACTATGACAAGAGTCCCTATCTGGCTCGCAAACAGAGCGGCCGCAAGGATACCGCCAACAAGGAGAACACAGAGCCCGGCGCTGCATCCGTTTCCCGTCGCGACAGTCTGCGCAAGGCCCACAGCACCACGGCCGATTGCAGTGCCCTGAAGCAGAAGACAACGGAGGCATCCATTGCCGACATTTACACGGCACAGCTGAATGTGGCGATGCGGGCCAGCGGCAATACGGCGGCTATGGGCTCTTCGTTTCTGAACAACAATAATAATGCACAGAATGGGGGCGCAAACGCTCCGCCGCCCGAACTCGAGGCTAAGTGCTACATCGAGAACGGACGCATCAACTTCGGGAAGCTCATCACAGACGAGATCCTGTCCGCCGACTACAAGCTGGTGGAAAAGGCCAAACAAACGGTAAGTTGTAGTAGACCTCAGAAATGTCGTTTAGTCTTTTGATTCCGTTTTTAGACCAACATTGCAGGTACCACAGCCTTAATAGCCATTGTTCATGGCACTAAACTGATTGTCGCTAATGTGGGTGACTCTCGGGGCGTCATGTACGACTCGCGTGGTATAACCATACCGCTGTCTTTTGATCACAAGCCCCAGCAGGTGCGTGAGCGTAAACGGATACACGATGCCGGTGGGTTTATTGCTTTCCGTGGGGTTTGGCGCGTGGCCGGAGTCTTGGCCACATCGCGTGCAATGGGAGATTATCCGCTGAAAGATAAGGTTCGTAGGAAATGATGCTCATCATATGATTATGGCGCTCTAATCTTGAATGGGGTTTTTCTCTCCATATAGAACCTAGTGATTGCCACGCCTGACATACTGACCTTTGAGTTGAACGATCACAAGTGAGTGCCACGAACCAGAATCACACAGATTATGACGGATTCTTATCAACCTAATTCCTTACTTCCGCATTCCAGGCCCCGCTTTCTGATACTTGCTTCTGATGGGCTCTGGGATATATTCAGCAACGAGGAGGCCTGCATCTTTATCCAAGACCACCTCAAGGAGTCGGACTATGGGGCCAAGTCCCTCACAATGGAGTCGTACAAGCGGGGCTCCGTAGACAACATAACCGTCGTGGTGATTGTCTTCAGGAATGATGTCTACAAAATTGGCGGGACATCGGCGGGCAAGGTGGCAGACACTCCTGCCGCTGCTGCTGCTGCTCAACCGTTGGCCAAATCCCCGTCCGTCGCTGCTGTGCAACGCTCGAATTCAATCAAAACCAAATGAGGAAGAAGACCCCAGAGTGCCTGCTAAGAGTTATACGAATCTTTAGCTTTCCCCCTTGCCTTGCCCTGCGCTCCACTTCCCCGTCCCTCCATCCAAAATATCTAGTTAGGCGAGATGTAAAATTCGTTTGTTAAATGTTAAATGAATCCAAAGGCAGCACCACAAGCATCACACCATCACACCATCACACCACCACACCATCCGAATCACACATGCACACGGAATAGGAGAAAAGGTTCCTTTTCGAATCCCATTTAAGGTTGTTCCATTAGTCAAATGTTGTTTTCGCATCCTCCCACCAGCGCCACATTGCCCCTGTACTTTGTTTCTAACCACACACACGCATACACAAACACGATACAACACACCCATTGTCGGACGTAATTATTTATTTAAATTATTTGTTATACGATACTTGTAAAAATAGAAACATTTTCTAAAAGGTGTTTAAAATAAAGAAAGCATTAGAGAATGCAGAAGATTCTTGTCGTGTCTTAGGGGGAACAGGCGAAGTATTGAGCTTAAATATAGAACCTGCTTTCTTTAAACCGATCGGAGACCTACAGTCTGGAATAGGAACTGCAGAGTTGCACCAGCTTTCATAGCGAACAGCTATTATAATTTTATAGCAACCTGCTTTATTTGTTCATATCAAGCAGCAGACAGTTTCACAGTATTCTCGTACCCGTGCTTCTGTCGCGAGTACCTTTTTTTGAGCTCTCTGACTCTGACTCTCGCCAGAGCGAAAACCGAATGTACATTTTTTTGGCATACTTGGACATACCCTTTTAAACTGCGTTGGTTGAAGAATAAATCTAGGCAGATAGTTTCAGATGGAAATCTGCTTGAAAAGTTTCTTAGCAAGAAGCTTTGATAGTTTCATAGAAGCCTGCTCTTAGAGATTCATAAAAATTATCATGGTTTCATAGCAGGGAACTCTTTAATTTCTTAGCTGAAAATTCTAAAACCTTCACAAATATCTCTCACCTCTCGTTACTCTCCAAGTCTTCTTTTCTTATCACTATTCAAATTCTCCCATAAATAGAACCAAATTCCGCTTTTTAAAGGACGCTTAATATTTTATTTTTGTTTTCGCTTCAACAAATCAAATGGGCGACCAGGGCATAGACATAGTCCAAGAGCTTAGTGAGCTGATACAGACACTTGCCAGACGCGGATGGTGTTGTCAGAGTAGCCGGCGAACAGAGTCTGGCCGTCGGTGGACCAGGCCAGAGACAGGCACTGGGGCTGATCGGCCTTGGAAGTGGGCGAGACGACCTCGGGGCGCAGCTCCTCGACGGTCTTCTTGCATGCCAGATCCCAGATCTTGATGGATGGGCCGTAAGCGACGCACAGCCAGTAGCGGTTGGGCGAGAAGCACAGGGCATTGATGATGTCGTTGTGCTCCAGGGTGTACAGGTTCTTGCCGTCATTAAGATCCCACAGCAGAGCCTTGGAGTCCTTACCGCCGGAGGTGCACAGCGAGCCGTCGGGAGAGACGGTGACGGTGTTCAGGTAGCCGTTGTGGCCGTGATGGTTGTTCTTCAGCTTGCAGTTGGCCAAGTTCCAGACCTTGACGGTGCGATCCCAGCCGCAAGACACGATGATGGGATTCGAGTGGTTGGGCGAGAAACGCACGCACGACACCCAATCGGTGTGGCCATCTTCCTGGATGGTGAACTTGCACTCGGCCAGGGTGTTCCACAGCTTGATGGTCTTGTCCCGAGAACCGGACACGATCTGACGGTTATCAGCCGAGAAGGCCACCGACAGCACATCCTAAAATCAACGGAGAACAGCCATTATTAGTTGTGGTATCACAATGGGTGCGTTCTTAGGATCAAGTGGGATGGGGGATTTTCAGTTTTGCCTACTTACGACAGAGCCTCGAGAAAATGAGAGGGGACGCTGACTCGGCGGAGAACCGTTCATACAGATGTCAACCAGAAATTCTGCCTCGCATAGGCGCAATAATTTCGATCTGTACATGGCAATGGCACTCTCTCTTTCCTAGCCGCACTCCTAACCTTACACCGGCCATTTACCAGTACAGATCTGATTTTTTGTTCAATAGCAAATCTCATTTCCCTGAGCAACTAAATTAATTGGAAACTTATCCCACCTTGGTGTGTCCCTCGAAGCGGCGAGTGGTCTTGCCGGCAGCCAGATCCCACAGACGAAGGGTCTGATCCCAGGAGCCGGACAGAGCATAGTTTCCATCGGACGAGAGGACAACATCGCTGATGAAGTGGGAGTGGCCGTACAGGCGCTTCTGGGGATAGCCGTAGTTGGTATCCTCATCGCGGGTCAGCTTCCAGACGATCAGGGTCTTGTCTGCAGACGGGTAAACACAACATTAGATGAGTCCTTCGGATGGCAGAGATATCTGCGGATTTGTTTCAGCTTCGGCATTCGCGAAAGCGGCTTCCGAGTACTTGCCACGGGAGGCCGAGATGATGGTGTCAGGATCCTTGGGGTTGGTGGCGATTTGGGTGACCCAGCCATTGTGGCCGATCAGGGTACCACGCAATTGCAATGTCTCAGACATTTTCAGTCAATTAAATATTTGCAACGGGAGCGCAATTGAAACACGTCCAAAGGCGCTGCAAGCTGGCAGAAAAAGAGGAACATCCGGCCAGTGTTCGACACGTTGGCAAATGTCAAAATGGGAATAGTGCTGGAAGACGCACGGGAAATACCGAATAGAGTTTATTTTGTCGACCTTGTCCAATAAAAGCAAGTATTTAAAATAAACCAGCCAAGTATAAAACAGGTTAATTAATCGGATTAAACTATGTGGGCAGGGCTGATAGATCTATCTCGCTAGTAATGTTCGACGGAATATCAAAAAACGAAGAATATTTTGCGAGTATTTTTCGGTATATTTAAAAAATGTCAAAGGGACAGCCGTTCGTTATCGAGGAACTGATCAGCTATCACGATTTATCGAAGCACTGCCATCTCAATTGCGGAACAAAACAAAGTAATCTTTATATTAGATTTGTGGGGTGGGGGAGACTTTCCCTTGGACGGCCGATTTAAACCGATTTAAAACCATTAATCCGACCACAGAGCAGACCATCGCTGAAACTGGGCTACCGGCAACACCATCGCCCTAAAGCCAGCCGAGCAGTCAATGTGGTGCCTGGTTTCGGTGGCGGCCGGCGCTGCCCTGGCCAATCACGCAGATGTCGCCAAGTACGTGCCCTGCATCTCCCCAGCTACGACAGACTGCCGGAATGTACCACTTCCGGTGTCCAGAAAGAATATCCGTACCCAGGTGTAGCTCTGTCTCCTATTCTACGGCGTGTATCCGGCCAACGTCTGTATATCCGCCTTCTGGCGCTGTGACGAAAGGACTAGCCTGCGAATCAGTTCAGCTGGTAGTCAGTCGTGGGCAGCGACAAGGCTCTGATCTGCTGCAAGCGGCCAAGAGACTTTCAGTGTCCTATCAACAAAGTGAGTGGAAAGACTCGATATGTCCCTAAAGTTCTTAAACTAACAATATCCTACTCCACCTTTGCACAGCATCGCATATCGGCCAAGCAGATCAATGAGATTGTATCAACTCATCCCAAGCCCAAAACTGTTAATCTCCTTGATGACAGTCCAACGGTGGACTCCGCTTAATGTCCGGTCCGTCGCCTTTGCCTGCGAATCCGTTGCCAAAGTCTCTCTTTGATGATGATCTGGAAGATGACTTTTTAAGCTAATTTTCGCCCAAGCCAAAGCCACCATAACAAAAACTTAAATCCTCCCTATTCGATGACGTTGATTAGGATATATGTAGATGATATTTTTGTCAAGCCATCGATGCAGCCGAACAATCACTCGGAGAGATTAGTTGGAAAAAACTCTCTGTTTGATGATGACGACCAGGATGATGTCCTTGATTTGTTTGGCTCAAAGAAAACAGAGTATACAAAGGTCTATACACGCACCATGTCTTCAAATACCAGCAACATTGCGACTGTTTTTTTTTAAACTATTTTGTTTAAGCCTTTAAGCCTAAAAACTAGCCAATCTTGTAGAACATTTCATCAAATATACAAATTCAACAATATAAACGACTATCCCTTTTCGTTTTTTTTGTTTGCCCATTTTCCCTAAAACCTTTTTATACGCAAAATGCAATAAAAGCAATTGGTTAAAATAAGCTAGTTACGTAGAAAATTGATTTAGTAATCGTATAAAACTATGTGGGCATGTCTAAATGTTCTATATAGCTGAGAATATTCCACGAAAGATCAAAAACGAGGAATATGTCATTTATAACTTATTTTTGTCAGTATATTTACGGTATATTTTTTAAATGAGACGGTATGTTTCGGTATATGTCTCAGGGTCTGACACAGGGGGTATATTTGATCGATAAGTCCGCGGTCACACTGGTCGTCGGGAACAAAAAATACGAAGAAAAAATTGCTTTATTCAACGAAATTTTGCATCAATCTATTGAGCGCAAAATTTCAGACGAGAGCAAGTGTAAACGCGGTCAGCAATCTAGTTTGCGCGGATAATATATTTCTTTCTTACACCCGGTTAATAAAAAGGCGTCAAAATTGAATCGACAAAGATTGACGAGTCGTTTCCTTCCACCACAACTGCGATGGAGGATAAAGCGACAACAAAAGATCTTGATCAATGGATTGAGCAGTTGAACGAATGCAATCAGTTGACAGAAACACAAGTTCGCACCCTCTGCGACAAGGTAAGGGATTTTAGCTCGCCCTAAAATCAAAGGTTTAAAAATAATTTTCATGATTGCATGCGAGTAATTTTTTTTGCAAATGGTGCTGCTGCTTCTGCGTGCGTCTACCTCTCTCGCTCGCACTCGCGCTAGTTCATGAATCATGACGCTCTTGCTTGCTTGCACAGTAGCGGTGGCGGCAGCGGCTTGCGTCGCCATATTGGAATATTGGTAAATTCCAACAGCCAAGCGGCCGCTATAACCTGCTCGAGTGCAAGTGAGACCAACATACAGTGCGTTGCGTGTGTGTGAATGCGACAACTAGTACAGCGCTTGGTCTAATGGGCTAAACCTGGGCAAAAGAGATATTTTTTGTATTGTACAATTTCCCAGTTTGTTGTTTAATGACAGGGCATTGCGTGTGGTTGTTGTTGCTGCTACTGCACTTGAGGAAATTGGCAAACAACCTTGCCGCACCGCCCTCCTATCAATCAGCAATTGGTTTTTTTTCGCTGAGTAAATATTACTTAATGTTTTTGTATGTTGGTGTGCGGTGCTGCCTCTAGAATATGTATCTATGTGCGTACTTGGCCCCATACAAAAGCAGGTCTCGCATCTAGATAAATGCATATGCAAGTGTTGAAGTGTACTCTATTCTGAGTTTCATTCGAGGAATATTTAATTCAATTCGTCTCAAGCCATCTCAAAGAATTGTGCCGCTTTTAATTGTTATTAATTTGCCGATTTTACCGTTCAATGCCCACGCACACTAGCATTCTCTCGACACTCAAAAGCGCACACATATGCAAACAAACACTCAGAGAGTACAAATGGAGAGAGAAAGAGAGACCCACACAGATAACGATTCATTGATTTGGGAGTAAGTGGGGTTATGTTTGCGTCACCCAATATTTAGACTGTTCCCATTAATGGTCTCTCCCGCAGACGGCAGAAGAGTGTTCTATTCTTCTCTGACGTATCTTCCACTTTGTCTTGACCCGTTCCGCCCTCGCCCATTCCTCTAAAAGGGTGCTGGCCGCGAGCGAAGATAGACAGAAGGAGAGAGAGCAAGCATAGCATCCTCTGTTTCTCTGTGTGGGTGAGCGGCCTCGTGATGTGCTTTCAAATCCCCTTGCGATAGGCCTCTGGGGCAGGCGGAAGCAGCAGCCTCAAGGTAATACATATGGCTAAATATCTAATTGGCTCACGCATAGATCTTGCAAAGCGGCAGACGCTACGGTTCCGGTCCATCCCGGAACTGGTCTTGTCATCTACCCATCCATAAGCAGCAGTAGCATTCGTACAAAGAGACCAAAGAACGGGCATATCATAGATCTTGGCCCTGCCCTTACCCTTACCCTATAGCAGGGGTCTCTCACCCCTTCTTGTTGCTAGCTATTTTTGGCCTTTCTTACAGCAATGATATCATCTACTCGAGAACTACCATGCGAATGAATGAATGAACCATTTTGGCTGACTCTTTATTCATCTCTTTTTCCCCTTGTCCAGGCCAAGGAGATCCTCTCCAAGGAGTCGAACGTGCAGGAGGTCAAATGTCCCGTCACAGTCTGCGGCGATGTGCACGGCCAGTTCCACGACCTGATGGAGCTGTTCCGGATAGGCGGCAAGTCCCCTGACACAAACTACTTGTTCATGGGCGACTATGTGGACCGCGGCTACTATTCCGTGGAGACTGTCACCTTGCTGGTGGCGCTGAAGGTGCGCTACCGCGAGCGCATCACCATCCTGCGCGGCAACCACGAGTCGCGCCAGATCACACAGGTGTACGGCTTCTACGATGAGTGTCTGCGCAAGTACGGCAACGCCAATGTGTGGAAGTATTTCACGGACCTGTTCGACTACTTGCCGCTGACGGCGCTGGTGGATGGGCAGATCTTCTGCCTGCACGGCGGCCTCAGTCCGTCGATCGACAGCCTGGATCACATTCGGGCCCTCGACCGCTTGCAGGAGGTGCCCCATGAGGGACCCATGTGCGATCTGCTATGGTCCGATCCCGATGACAGGGGTGGCTGGGGAATCTCACCCCGTGGTGCCGGCTACACCTTTGGACAGGTGAGTGTTAATCGAATTATCACCGTTCGAGGAGAGGCATAACTAAATCCGGGACTATCCGTTCTTAGGACATTTCGGAAACGTTCAACAACACAAACGGCCTGACGCTCGTCTCGCGTGCCCATCAACTGGTGATGGAGGGCTACAACTGGTGTCACGATCGTAATGTGGTCACAATCTTCTCAGCGCCAAACTATTGCTACAGATGCGGCAACCAGGCGGCTCTTATGGAACTGGATGATTCACTTAAATTTTCATTGTGAGTACTACCGGGATAGATACAATAGTCTTTCTTTCTGAACGTGATTCACTATATCGTTTTTTTCCCCCCTCCTTTGTCTTTTCTCCGTAGCCTACAATTTGATCCAGCACCGCGGCGCGGCGAGCCCCATGTTACGCGAAGAACACCCGATTATTTCCTTTAAGCTGGATTGCGCTTACATTTAAACATATTACATCGCATTATAACAACAAGAACAACAAGAAAACCCAATATATAATATAAACAAAACAAAAGAAACGAGAAACCAAGCAACAACAAAAAGTATATAAATTAAACAACAAAATGGCAAATGCTGTTGATGATTAAGAAAACAAAAACCCAACAGATAATATTTAAACCTATTCTCGATGCATTTGTTTGAAACAATTCGAGAACGATGCAAAAAGCAACAGCCTTTGATCGTTCATCGTTGATTGTTGTTTGCCCAGAAAAATTCAAGTCGCGTTTCGGGGGCGACAAAAGATATATCAAAGATAGCGCAAGAAGAGCGAGGAATGGCGGAGAAGCAGGAGCAGGAGCAGGATGAAATCATGATACAATCCAATCAAACCTACCAACCTACCAACCAACCAACCAACCAACCAACAACCAAGCAACAAGAACTACAACTACTTAGCTAAATTTGTTAATTTATAAAAATAACGAACTAAGCGCGCCGCCAGCAGAAAGCAGAAGCCAGAGCCCAAAATGGGAATGATGGATGGATAAACGGATGGATTATGACATGTGTGTGTGGGGATTTTAGGGAGGATGTGGGAGGGGGGGGGGGGGGGCCGAGGATATGACTATGACAAAGGATGAAGGACTAAGAACAACGGACATACGAACCCAGGACGACAGTAGACGGCAGCATGTGGGTGTAGCGCGAGAAGCATGAGGATATAGCAGGAGCAGCACGAGAAGCATGAGGATATAGCAGGAGCAGCACGAGAAGCAGCAGCAGCAATGGGGATAAAGTGCGAGGCGGGCCAGCGATTCATAGAAACAAGAAGAAAAAAATTATATAAAGAAAATAAGGAAAAAGTTTAATATTACTGATTAAAATTACAAAAACAAAAAAAGCGAATAAAATTATTAAAAAAAAGCAAATAAAAAAACCACACCACAAAACAAAAAAGAAAACGATTAAAAAAAATTCATTACAAATTAAGTTCATATGTAACTTTAATAATAATAAAAGAAAACCACACAAAAAACACAACAAGGAAATTGCCGTAATTCCCAAAACTAACGGTTCAAGGGAGGACAATGAATGTGGTTGCATTTTAAGAGAGAGAGAGAGCTTAAGAGAGTGCGGAATTCAAGAGCGAGCTTCAAAGAGAGGAGATAAATATTGTTGCCTCTTAGGGAGATTGAAAGCGGCTCTTTCCTCCAAAAGAAACCTAAGAGCGAATACCGTTAGAAGTATCCATTATTTCTGAAAGCTGGCAATGCCATGCTTGCCATTTGCCCTGCGGCTAACGGTAGTGTGTATGCGAGCCTGCCAAAGATAACACGACCGAAAAAGGAAGCGGAAGTCGGGCATCAAACGGCTCCCTAATTGAGACCACAAGACCAGACAAGACTAGACGACACGACAGGCTCTCGGACCGAGACCACGAGGCATCCATCGGCATCCCGCCCCCGAAAAACGATTCCAAAGTCAGAATCGAAATCAGAGCCTGGTCTCGGTAACGGTCTCGGGGCCGGGTCGCATTTGATTCCAAGGGAAAGCGAAAGCAAATCTTGGCAACTTTGTATAATTTTTGGAATATTTTAGCAGCCACACACAGTACTGTTTGTGTGTGTTTTTGTTGGAAATTCAAATTTCAAAACATGCTTGGGACCCTCAAGTACCCAAGAACTTGCTCCACACGAACCCGCACCCACACCCTCACTCCCCCAAAGAACATACTCCGTACACCTACCGAGACTTGTCATCTATCATGCCCCAACAAACCAGGAATGGATGCGAGGTCGGGGGCGGAGGTAATTGTCGCCATCGGGCCGGGGGGTCCTTGGCTGCTTCTGTGGAGAGTTTATACCAGGGGAGGGGGTGGTGGGGCTGTTTCTGTGGATTCTGGGAGGTTGGAGCAGATTGTATTTGTCGTTGGGGCAGCGACAGCCACTGCTACTGCGACTGCGACTGCGGCGTATGCGACATGGAAAATCCATTATCACGAAGTGAATTTTTACTGAAAAATTTACATACCCCCACAGCTCTCATCTCTCCCCTTCCCCCCTATCCCACCGCTCGCTCATATAAATGTGAAAATAAATCCTGAGTGCGTGTTGTTCGGGAGGAGGATGGGCGGGATGGTGGTAGAAGGATGGTAGGGATGCTGTTCGGCTGCATGGAATATAACCCACAGAAATATGTACAACTCTATTTGATGGGCCGTTATTAAGTTAAGGAATGCCACACACACAAAAAAGTTCTCTACCAAGAATCATCCACCTAGCAAAAGATTGTATTTAATTAAAGGCATAAATTCAAAATGTATCCTACGCCTCCTCCTACCCCTGCAATTCGCCCTTAAGGCCTCTCCTAGATGATGGCCGAAAATGTTTGGACCATAAAACAAAAGTAAGTGAATCGGGATGATGGATACGGTTAAGGTTTCGTTTCGGGATGCACGAGAGAGAGGATACGCTTACGGTTTAGGGACCAGGAGCAGCAGGATCTGTGTAGAGGTAGCCTAAATATTAAAAATTTAAATGAACTGCTCACTTTTTACGATTTTGTCCTTAGTTTACGACTGTCTGGGGTGGGGCGGGGTGCTCTGCCTAAACAAACGTTTTTCGTATTTTTATCGTCTCTGGGTATGGGGGTAATTTTTGGGTTTGGCCGAGGCTATAGTGTATGGTGGTTGTGGCAGGGAGGGGGGCTGCCATTCTCCGTGCAAGTATCTTTTACGATGCAAATTTGTTGCCATAAAATTGAAGAGTGTAGCCAAAAGTGAGGCGCTTTGCCTAAATAAACTTTGCAGACTACAATGATGATGATGAGTTGCCATTGCCCCTGGTTGATGATGATGATGCCTCGTCCGCCCGTTCCACCGCCCGCCACGTGCTGCCTGCCTGCCTGTCAGTCTCGATTTTCTCTCTGGCGAAAGGTTGAAAGGTCAGGCCTGGTTAGGAGCAGCAGCAGCACAACACTCACACGTTCAGGAAGGGTAGTATGGTGTAAAAAGGGGAGATCCTAGGGCGAGATTGGCTCTTCGTAAAGCGTAAACCGTACAGGCGGCAAATCAACGAAAATCGATTCCCGCTAAATACCCAAGTTGGGGCCTCCCCCAGTACCCAGTACCCAGGAGTTAACAACGTTAACCCAGCCTCAACTTGGCAATATACAAAACTTTTTCCACTTCTCACTCCACGCCCCCCCTCTGGCTGATAAATCCCCAACGATTTGCGTCTCAGTCCCAGCCCCAGTCTGTCATCGTGCTTTATTTTTGTGCTATTCTTTTTCTGTATTGTGTATTCTGTATTTATTTAAATTCTTTTACACTTTGTATGCCAATTTCTGCTTCGTTTTCGGCTACTACTCGTAATCTATGGTATCTTACTTGGCAGCTAATCTACGAGTAACCTTAACTGAAAGCTATCTCCACTCTCTGATTAGATAAGACACGAGTAATTAGCGCGAGAGTTTAGATAACTTGAAGATTACTGCGGGTCAGCGAGGGGAATACAGTCGGACTCCTGTAACACAAACTTTTTTGGGCAAGAAATTAATTGGATTTCCCTAGCCAGCTTACACAGTGTATTTGTGTCTCAATTTAATTGCAACTTAAATATTTAAATAAAATATAGGATATTCTAATAGGTTGCCTAAAGGTTCACTATTGTACTAAAAATTAGGATAGTTCCAGGTCCATTGACCTACCACACTACCAGTAAACTAAGCATTAAGCAATACCATTCCCTATCGAAGACGAATGTTTCAGAGAGGGAATATCATTTCTTCTTTGTAAAGTAATTTAAAGGATAATAGAACACTTAGATATCAAAAGCATGTGAAAAAGTATATGATTTTGAAGGCAAGGGGGAACAGTTGGAAGGCCACGAATGTCAATGATGAAAATGAGAGAGTAATGGCCAGTTTCTCGACTTCGGGTTAACTTTAATCGGAATATTAAATGTGTCCGATAATGAAAATTCGGTTTCCTCAAGCTGTAAACATAGACAGCAGAAGAGAGACATAGTATCTACGTTTTCTAGAAACTTTGATGGTTATAATATATAATAATAGCACATACTAGACACAAATAATACTTTAAGTACCCCCCAAGCCCGTGACTTGATTTCAATAAAATACCACAGAATGTAACAGCTGCGGTCCACATTCGGCGTGTGTTGGTCTCTGGGAAGTTTCACTGTTGATTAAATCAGTAATTAGTACGACACCGGCCTCTACAGGCGCACATGTCGTCGAAACACACACTACTATCTCTATCACTGTTCCCACACACACACACATATGAACTACAGATGGAACCACAGGCTGCTGCTGATGCTGCTGCTCTTTTGCTTTTACTTTTGTTTCCTTTCTTTCGTTTCGTGCTGCCCTTCCACCTGCAGGAATTACTCAAATTTATCTATGTTCCAGGGCATTCCTATAGTCACTCTATATCCATCTCGCTCCTGGACTCCCCCTCTCCCTTTCTATAGCATTGTTTTATTTTTGTTTCTACTTTGTCGCTTTCTATTTGTTGTTGCTGGCCTTTTCTGCTGCGGGCATTGACTGACTTCCTTCCGCCCGCCCGCTCTTTCAGGAATACGGATGGTATGGGATGGTATGGTATGGGACTGGGGGATAAGTTCAAGGGAAGCTGGAGCACCGTGCTCCAAAGTCGGATCCGGGAGCCGCCTGGCGCCTCTCATCCGTGGCTCCGTTGCGTTGCGTGTTTCGCTTTTGTACGTTTTCTATTGCCGCTTCCTTCCGATATTCCTGTCCTCTTCTCTCTTCTCTGTTGTATTTATATTTTCTTTATTCTTCTTTTTTTTGCTTCTCCCTCTTTTTTTTTTGGTTCTTCGTTCTTTCCAGAATTTTTATACCGTGCTTTTGGAGGAGGGACGACATGGAGTATATTGTATTGATGTATGTAGATACTTGTATAAAATCGGAATAATGCCTGGGTCTTGGAGATCAGTAAAGCTATAAACGAATATTTTTGTCCTTCCTTATCGCTTATCTCATCTTTATCAACATCTCTACCTTTTATCGGCTTCACTTTCCTTTCTTGAAAGTTGGGATGAAGCTGTGAAGATATTATCTACAGATAATACAATACTCTAAAACTCTAAAACGTTAAAGTTCGGAATAATTTTACAGCCAGAATGATGAAGTATCGATCAATGCAAATGAAATATCCTATGAAAGTAATGCAAGCTCTTACATTCTAATTAAAACTAGGATTTCAATTAAATACAGTAAAAATGTGGCAAGAAGCATCTCTTGTTGGGAATGTATTGCCATATATTCTCCTCTTATTAAGAGGGTTTTTTTTTTCATTTTTATAGAGAATGTTGGAATAGTTGGGTATCTTCTAGTCCTTAGACTCCAACTGTGGCTCGCTTGGATTTTTTCTTTATTTCCCAGTGAATTTGGTTGTCTCGCACGTGAGCCGCATAATGAAATTTGCTGCCCCGACACGGCGGCCACTCCCTATTGTCTGTGTGTGTGTTTCGGTCGTGTCCTCCCTCTCGCTGTGCTGTGTGTGTGCTCCGGGGTGTGCCCAGCTGCTTAGCCTAATCTTATGTCGCCTTAAAGAGATGTCATTGGAGTTGCCTCCAGCTCCAGCTCCTGCTCCAGATGCTCCCTGCTGCTTCCACAACTTAATGCGAAGGAATCAGAGTTTTGGCCTGGTCTTATTTGCATTCCCGTGCGCCCAAAAGGTGACAACACAAAATGCTCAATGTGGCAAAAAACAAGCTCCCATCGACATTACCAAACAAAAACCAACAACAACACACACACACACAGCGGCAGACAGCTTGGGGTCTTAGCCTGGTCCAATGTCTGACCCCATCTCCTGCTTGGTAGTATGCCTCCTGCCTCCTATCGTTTCACACTTTTTGGCTGCGCTGTGCTTTCAAGTGGAAAATTACTTTCGCAGCTTTATGATGCGGAAATTATATGAAAATCATGGCGAATTTGCCTTACAAGGAATGCGATTCGGCCAGGACCACGACGCGGACCGTATTCTGCTCCGCATATCCTGTATACATCTGCATATGTAGCCGTAGCCTCTTCTGCCAGCTTTTCTCTGTCCGCTATCTCTGAGCCCCGATCAAGGCACCAGCCACGCCACGCCCACAGCAGGCAGCCAGCAAGCAGCCAGCAGTCGCATAATGAAACGAGCTTTTGGCTCTGGCGAAGGGATGCCGTTGACAACTTGGTTGAGGACTCATCCTATACTCCACTTTGCCACGCCGGCAGCTGCTGACTGGCTCCATTTCCATTTGAATTAGCATAAAACGAGGCGGCTTACGTCTGTCTATTGTAGGATGGTTGGGGCATGCAGATGGGGTGTACTGTGCCGTTCCACTCCGAATCAAAGCCACCGTCGTCGAGTGCGGGGCGAGATATCATCTGTTGCTGCTATTCCTTCTGCTTTTACTTCTGCTCCTGTGCGACGACGACGACGACTTCGTTATCTTTTTAACTTGCTGCCGTCGTTTATTTAACTGATAATGATTTGATGGCAGTTGGCTAAGCTTTCGACAAAGCCATGTCTCCCACACCGGCGCCGACTTGACTCCCATCGCCCATCTCCGGGTGGTGGGCCACCTCCACCTCCTAGACCCATTTCCACGCCCATTCCTGTGCCATTTACTGAGGTCAATTACACGCTTTCGATTAAATTTGCCATGGATTGGTGATGGTGTTGCCTGCTGGGTGTTGACACGGAACAGCTGCCTTAGAACGAGGAGTCCCGCCCCCCCTCGTTCGGGTCTTCTCTTTTTCCCAGCATCCATCCTTCTCTGCTCGCCTTTGCCTGCTAGGGAATGGGAATCGGAATGGGAATGGTAGAGAGAGGTATGTTGTATGTGTGGCACAAATAAAGTTGAATTATTATTTTTCTTTATGCTTACTTCGGTCGGAGGGGGGGCTCCTGTGGTTGGGGGCGAAGTGCGTGCCCGGAATGCTCAAGTGTTGCCAAGTTGCATATTCGCTTCGTTATCCCCCATTGGGGTTATGCCACCAGCAAGCAAAAGCAGCAGCAGCAACAGCAGCTCCATCGTCAAGCGCGCTTTAAAGAGGGGATTACGCAAACCATATTGGATATTTAACAAGGAATTGCTGGCATTTCTGTATAAATTCCAGCATACTTATCCCTTTTTTAATACGCAGTGGCGGTATTTTCTTGAATGGCATTTAAATTTGTGGTTCTTTCACGTTTTTAGGTGGTTTTAGGACGGCATTCGCTTATTTTTCGTGGCGGCTGCAAAACGTAAACAAAGGGTCGCCATATTTCGATGACACTCCAGTGTGACCATTTTTTGCAGAGAGTCTATTCTAATTGAACGGAATCGTGAGAGAGCGAATGAGAATGGGAAGAAAGAGACAGGAAAAGAAAAAGATCAAGCGCCATTTCTTTGCTGCTCAATGTTTTTCGGTTTGTTTGAAGTAAAAAGTGTTTAAATCCTCGAAAATATCATTGTTCATCGCAGTACAAAGTGCGGTTTTGTATGTACGCATGTAATTTTAACAGAACACATGTAAGTGCCTCCCAGATCGGATGAGAATGGGAAGCGAGCCAGGAAAGTAAACAAATCACGCGCCATTTCCTTGCTGCTCCGCGTTTTTCGGTTTGTTTGAAATAAAAAGTGTTTAAATCCTCGAAAATATCATCGTTCATCGCAGTACAAAGTGCGGTTTTGTATGTTCGCGTGTAAATTCTACAAAACACATGTAAGTTCCCCCAGCAATCATTCATTTAAATTTCATCTCATTGTAAAAGGGGGGAAAAAAACGTCAAAATTCGAGTTGGTGATGGGCGAACCCGCTTCGGGTCGCTGTGCACGATGTCTGTACAATAGCCTACTCCTGACCACGGCTCTGAGGGCTGTCCAGAACTTGCGGCCAGAGGAGCACCCCTACGCCTATGCGGCCTGTGCGGTGGGCGCTGTGGTGGCAGGACTCGGCCTGCTCCGTGTGATCTTCGCCAGCGGCCAGCCGCATGAGTGCCAAAAGTTGCGTGACGTGTGCCACGGGTGCCTGGTGCTGGCTCCCCTACCGTTGGTCAACATGGAGCTATACACACTATCCACGGGACTGACGAGTGCCGTGACCCTGGGCCATGCCTGTTTTGTGCTGCCCCTAAGCTTAGATCTGTGCTGTAGCCTTTTTAAGGATCGCGAGGACTGCCACACGAGCGACAGCCTGCGCAATCTCACGATTCTGGGTAACATTGTGTCCCTGGGATTTCTGGGCATGATGGAGCGGAACTTCGCCTATATCCGCATGATGCTAGTGATGGTTGCCGTCCAGTACGGCGGTGTGCTGATGGACAGCATGCAAGAGGAAGCTGGCGAGGATCTGCAGATATGCGGCACGGCCCTGTTCTTTCACCTGCTCGGTAAGGCCCTAGAGGCCAAGTGAGTAATCCTGTTTCTGGAGGGGTTAACGAGGCTTACAACTTGCGGTCGCCTCGTCCTACGCTTCAAGGGTTTCTGCATTTAATTTTCCATGAATTCGACTTTGGCTTTTTTTTCCTGTATTAAATTTCATTTGTCGGCTTTTCAATTGCTGTTCATGTTTGCTCATGTTTTTTGTAATTGCCACAACACTCCATATCCTCCCCCTATCCCTATCCTCCAATAAGGAGGCCACTTCTATGGCTTCTCTGGTGTGTCACACACACACATTATAATGATATATTGGCGATTACCGATGCGCAATAAGTGCACCATCCTCAATCGTACCACCCCTTAGTCGTACTCGTACACCCCTTAGCCGCCGTTCCTCCCATTGAGACGCAAAGCCATTTCATCGCTGATTCATCGCTCTATCTACCAGCGGGAGGTTCTTATCAATTGATACGGGACTGGATAACAAAGCAATTGTACTTGGATACGGTCTCAATCGTTAAGTACTTGCTGTGAAATTCCAAGTGCTTTTGATGAAATGTATGCGTTATCTATGGAATGATATATACATATATTATTAGAGCTTTAAAATAAGCCCCAAACCTTAACCATTTCCATTAGCATAGTCTTTTTTACTTTTCAACTTTTAAACGAGAACATATAGAACGTAATATGTACATACATATGTATGTATGTAGGTTCGGACTATGCGTATCATCTATACTACTATAATATTTTAGAGCGTTATTTTTAGAAAAATTATAGTAATTTCCATATTAGAAAAGTTTAAAAGGTTTTTGATAATAATTTATATAAAAAGGAATAGAAATTAAATATAAATTTTTATATCTTGGGTGGAAGTCTAGTTTGCAGATGAATCTTCTAGATAATCAGATATTTTATTCTACTTCTTCCTCATTTTCTACTACGTCGACACCGACCAATTTCCAGCACTCAAATTCCCATTAAAACCCGCGCGGTGATCGCTTCGATAATTGAAATTGCAAATGAACGAAGTGCAGATATTATGAATGCAATCAAAACCGTGTCAGAGCCTGCCTCCGAGTGAGAAAAGCTGTCAATACCCCAAATTCCCATTCCTCTCCTCTCCGCGCTGATATGAAAATTCCCCATTGCCCGCTGATTTCGTTGTTATATTAATGTACATATACGTATATTTTATGTATTTTCACGCTGCCAGTCAAATGACAAACTCTAATTGCAAACGGGACAGATTTTAATGAGTGCACCGCACAGCCCACAACCCCTCACAACCCCCCACTACTCCACAAATGTCCCTAAAGTGCATGCGGGTGTACAGTGCGGAGCAAAAGTTGTGTCGATTGTGGAAACTATAATTTTGGAATGGAATTGAAAATATTATAATTCAATCTATAAATACACAGAAACTGAAATTCTATAAACAATCCTCTTAGCACCATTCTTTGTATTAGGACTGGAAAAGGCGATTTATTAATAGTTTAACATTATATATAGAATCGTTGAAAGTTTAACCAGATTAATCAGACAAAAGAGTTTCTATATGCCACTAAGTTCATCAAGTTACTTGACGTGGCAAATTCCATCTCCCATATTGTCTAGTGGTTAGGATACCCGGCTCTCACCCGGGAGGCCCGGGTTCAATTCCCGGTATGGGAAACTTGTCAAAAGTTTCTTTTTTCATATTTTTGTATCGTGCCTCAAGGAAAATCTATTTTTACAGTATGAAAATAAGTATACGTATATATAGTTTTTGTCCAAAATCTAAAATTATACACAGCGGTTGCACAATACTGATTCGTAAGGAAGTGAGTAGATATTGAATGAATGAGAAGACCTCAAGGACTGCCACCTGGACGTGGAGCTGCCCATGGGGGAACTCCTAGCTCGCTTACGGTGATAAAGAAATAAAAGTGCCCGTCGTCTTCCAACCAATCCAAATCGGTTGTGGCCAAACGACGGTTTGGCTAAATTAAACAAAATGTGAATGTTAAAAGTTAGGATTAAATTTTAGATCTGGAAAAATGTTAAATTAAATGTTTTATAGATAGATCTATACAGATTGATGATCTGTAGTTTCCCAAGTCATTTAACGAATTTGACATGCGTTCCATCACATCCCATATTGTCTAGTGGTTAGGATACCCGGCTCTCACCCGGGAGGCCCGGGTTCAATTCCCGGTATGGGAAACTGTCAAAAGTTTTTTTTTTCATGTTTTTTGTTCGTGCTTCAAGGAAAATCTATTTTTACATACAGTTTTAGTCCAAAGCGGCTGTACAATACTTATTTCTAAAGAAGTGAGGAATCGAAATAACACATTGAATGTTGAAAAGTTTTATAGATTTTTCAGATCGAGGATCTATAGTCTCCTATGTCATTTAAGCCATTTGGCACAGTTTTCGTCACATCCCATATTGTCTAGTGGTTAGGATACCCGGCTCTCACCCGGGAGGCCCGGGTTCAATTCCCGGTATGGGAAACTGTTAAAAGTTTCTTTTTTTCGATCAAGGGGCATATTTTTAATAGCAGGTAGTACAATCGTGTTCACCAGTCTATTGTATGGATTTTCTATACCTCTATCGGAATAATAATCCTTTTGAACGGTCTTTTTTTGGAACATTTTCCCGTCTGTTTCTGACTAAATAGAAACAACTCTTTGGATTAATAAGAGATTTTCATTAAGAATAGTGGTGACTCGGATCGTTCTTTTTCGATTACCTTTGCACAGGAAAAGTATATAAATTTCTTACTGTCATCTGGCATCGGCTACAAATGGGAAAGCCACAAAACTTTCAAGGCTTCTTCTTACAAATTGTTGTCTAAATGGTTATTACCGGACCGCTGTCTAGAACCAATCTTTATGGGAAACTTCTTGTGGAAAGAATCTTTCTTGGTATCAATTTCCGTTCTTTTTCCTGAATTTCCGTACACATAATATTTTATGATCTAGAATCATTTCCATCTCCATTGGAACGTGCTTTGTTGAGCCTTATATCTATGATCTGCACTGTATGATCTATATAGATGTTTCTCTATGCATTTTGTATGCCCTTTTTTTAGTTTTTGTATTGCCCCCTCCTTTGGGGGGCAGCATTTTGCTTTATTCAACTTGACAAGTGAAGTGAGTGTGAATATTTTTTTTTAGGTCACAAAACAGCAACAAGCACAGTCCACCTCCAAATGGAATTCCAGCTCCGAACTCGTGCTTCGACTGCCTCTCCTGCTCCTCTTCCAAATGGAACTCCTACTCCGTCCTGTTCCTCCTACAAATGGATCTGCGGCTCCTGCCACGTAGCACTCCTCCCTCCCGCACCGTCAAACAGTGGACTCTCTTGCAACTCTTGCTGCTACCTGGTCGGAAAAAACACACACACACACACACGCAGAGAGAAGGAAAAACACCTGAAAAAAAGTGCAAAAAGAAAAACCAGAAATGGTTCGAATCCTTTTCCATCCTGTTTGGAATTGGGCCTGGAGTGCGACGGAGGGGGGAGGGACTTCGGGAAATTGCAGTCAACATTTATTTCCGCAGTATGATGGAAAAATTCGAAAATAATTTGCGAGCCATAATTAAAAGGCGACAGCAGGAAAAATTGAGACAGAAAATGTTGGGGAAAAACTAGGAAAAAGTCGCCAGGAAAAAGAGAGCAGGGGAAATGAGAAGAAGTGGGGAAAAGGCTAGAGAGGAGGGAGGAGCTATAGAGAGAATCGTCCCTCGAATGTCCTCAATCCGCTGGGGTCATAAACAATTCCATAGCGTAGACGGCTTTTCGATTTTAGCCTCAATTGGCAACATATGGCGAGCAGACTCCCAAGGAGGAGGCCACACACACACACACACACACATACACATCAAAGGAGGCAGGTCCTTTGAGAGACTGCGGGGGCAGGGGGCGGGGATCGTGGGACTCTCCCACTCCCACTCCCTGCTCCCGTGTGGGCGGGGCGGCATTTGCATTTGTGACTGCGAATTGCGAATGCGAAAATTTAAAGTTTTCCCGATAAGAGGGTTGTAAAAAGTACAACAAAAAAGCGTATCGGAGCGAGAGAGTCCTCGGGAACAGGAGCTGGGGACGCAAAAAAATGGCGACGTTTGCGAGGCAAGGAACACGAAAAGGGCGGCGGCGGCAGACAAAAGACGAAGACGCACCGAACGGAGGCAGCAAACAAGAAAAATCGCTGCAGGGAAAGTGGCAGGAGTGGGGAGGTGGGGAGCGGAATATGGACGGGGGTCCGGGGTCCTGTAGGTGATGGGAAAAGTGAAGGATGTGCTGGGGTCGGGGTTGGGGTTGGGCCAGGGGGGTGGTTGGCGATAGAACTTTACTTATACGAGTTTTTCGCATTGTAGAACGCGCGGCATTTGCCAGAAGGTGCCAACACATTTTATTGCTTGTACTCTACGGAGAGGAAGGGTATGTGGGGATTTGGTGATACATTTGGATGCTGCTAGAATCTAAATTCCTTGAGAATCCTCTTGTTGCCTAAATTGTTGCAAATGTTGGATAGGTTTTTTGGTGGTTTGCTGTGTTCTTGGATTGGAATCACTTGTTTTTTCTTCAGACACTTCACAAAAAGCAACGGCTAAGAATTTAGTTCGTTGAAATCGTTTACTTTATGACTTTCATGCAACTTTCATCTAGCAGTTGTCATACTAAAGAAAATAAATTTCTACTCCGAATATCCCAATACTTACTCCAAGAAATGCTGGGTCCTGCTGGGTCCAATATTAGTCAATAATTTATAGATTGTAGTCAGTGGTGCGACAGTAGCTCGTCATTGGCACTGCCCATATATAAATACTGCCCATACCTATATATGTATATATTCTCGCGCACGGCAGCATCCCATAATGAAATTACTTAAAGGTGGTGTCGTCCTTTGTGGTGGGGACCATCCACTTGTCCAACTCGCTCACTCGGCTCTCAGAGAAACCAGCGCTGAAAAGAGATCGCAAACGTTTTACGTACTGCTCTTTTCGCTTGTAATTGCTACAATGAAGAAAAACATAAAGAAATAATCGTGTGCTACACATCCTCTTTCCGCGACAAACGACTGATAGGTCTCCGAAAGAGAGCACATGTGGGGAAGCTTTCGCTCTTGCTGTTTCGATCTGTCATACGATCTAGTCAAATACTCACTTGCATTAGGGGACGGGTAATTCGGCTTCGGCC